ATCTTGTTTTCAGAATGTGTAAGATTATTTGTCTTGTTAGTCTAAAATTTTGACTCAAATTCAGTCAAAAATTTCTGCCAATGAAGTAAGGAAATTTGACTTGGTAAGATTCTTGAAATAAGTAAAAATTTAGTCAAATCAAGTATTTCAAGAATCTTACCAAGTAAAATTTTCTTACTCCATTGGCAGAAAATTTTGACTGAAATTGAGTCAAATTTTCAGACTAACAAGACAAATAATCTTACACATTCTGAAAACAAGATTACACTGTAAAAAATGAAATGTTGGATTTACTTAACCATGTTATGTTTCCTGGTTCCACTTAACTGAGTTGAGTAAATTCAAAGCAACATACCAGTTTTTTAGCCAAAGAACATGAGTATGTTGCTTTGAATTTACTCATCTCAGTTAAGTGGAACCAGGTAACATAACATGGTTAAGTAAATCCAACATTTCATTTTTAGAGTGTATTATTCTTACACAATCAGTTCTTGTTTAGTAAATCAGTCTCAAAACAAGATCAAAAAGACTTTTTGGCTGATATAAGGTTTTAAAACTTGGTTAGATGGACAGTTTTTACAGTTTTTGGCTGATATAAGGTTTTAAAACTTGGTTAGATGGACATTTTTTGCAGTGTACATCAAAATGAATGCAGTTTGTCTGCGTTTACATTATCACAGAGGAATTTCAGCTGAATTTAAATTTTATTTTTGATATGTTTTAGATTATTACTGAATGTGTTTCAACCTGTTTGTTAAGAATCAAACTCAGGAYCAAATCTTCAGTAAAAACATGCTGATTTTCATCAAAAAGCTTTTAATTTCATCTTAACCCACATTTTCCAAAAATAAATCAAATCAGTTTTTTTTTCTCACTTTTCATTAAATAATTAACATCTGAGTCGAGTTTTAATGATGTAAAGTTTGGTCTCTTCTGTTCCACAGGACTGTTCAGCACAGCCTTCACACAGTATGTTGTGGAGGAACCGGCGAGAAGAACTTCTGTCCTGAACACAAACTCAACGACAGCACAGGAGGAAGTGAGGAGGGAGCAGATGTCTGCATCACAAAGTCCGACTCCAGCGTCAGTCAAATGTGACATAAAGGAGACGTCGCTCTAACAGCAGCTCTGCTGAGCCTGACCCCTCAGTCAGAGACGCTGCAGCAGACAGGAAGGCAGACATTTTATGAAGCCTTTAAACTGAACTGAATGCTTCTGCAGACATTGTGTTGTTTTAGATGTTCGTTTAACAAAACGTTCAGCTCATTCGGGAGATGGCTGCTACTTTATGTTTTTGTCATTTTTATACTGTTTAGAATATTTACTTTTATTTTAAAATACAGTATTTTTCTTATTTATTACAAAGACGTCCTTTCAGTTCTTTAAAGGGATCCTGATTAGTTGTAACATCAGACTTTATTTGATAAACATATACTTTAACTGTAAGAAAAAGACTAAAAATAGTGTAGGCTGTTTAGTTTTTATCATTTTTAAACTTAAAGTTTAAAGATATATCACCCAGACGGGGCCATTTTATTTACATGCAAAGCATTCTGGGAAATTGATAACATCAACTAGGTCATCYGTGCGAGGCTGCTAGCGAGCTATATCCACCCTGAAGGTTAATCTTGGATAATATCTGATGATCGACTCTTTTAAATGAAACCAGAGAGCGTTGACAGAGAGGAGAAGGTAGAAATGACTCAGCCTGTAACTGAAAATATGGATGGAGGACAACAGAGCTGCTTCATGGAAGAAGAACCTCAGCTTAGCCTGTTAGCTTTAGCGTTAGCCCCGTTGCTATCACCATATATATGTATTAGCTCAGCGCTACACATTCATCTCTCATCACTGAGGTCCTCCATCCACATGACAGAGAGGGGAACACAAAAATGACTCAGCTGCACTGAAAATATGGATGGAGGACCTCAGTTTAGCTTGTTTGTCGCGCTAGCACCGAGCTAATACATATAAGGCAATATAGCGTGAGGGCTAGCGCGAAAGCTAACAGGCTAAGTTGAGGTTCTTCTTCCATGAAGCAGCTCTGTTGTCCTCCATCCATATTTTCAGTTCCAGGCTGAGTCATTTCTACCTTCTCCTCTCTGTCAACGCTCTCTGGTTTCATTTAAAAGAGTCGATCATCAGATATTGTCCAAGATTAACCTTCAGGGTGGATATAGCTCGCTAGCAGCCTGATGCCGATGACCTAGTTGATGTCATCAWTTACCCAGAATGCTTTGCGTGTAAATAAAATGGCTCCGTCCGTGTTAAAATATATTTTAAAAAATTTACAAAACTAAACAGCCTACAGTATTTTTACAGTCTTCATTTTACAGTTAAAATAAATGCTTTTCAAATAAAGTTTAATGTTACAACTAATCGTGGATCCCTTTAAGAATCTACTAGCTTTATTTTTGTTTCCTCCGGGGGGCCCTACCACGTTGCCACTCTTAGCGACTGTTTTGCTCTATTTAGCTTTTAACTAACCATTTCCTGCTTTCAGCTAGTATTTTGCTACTTGTTTTGCTTCTTCAGCAAATTTCAGCTCTGAACATTCACTGCATCTTTGCAGAAAAAAAAKAAACATTTTTCTAGTTTTTCATTCACTACAAAGTTCCTTAGAAAGTTGTTTCTGAGCCGTGAGGAGAAAATGTAAAATTATTTTATATATAAAATATGTTCCATTTAAAGACATGCTGTAAATCACAATGTGAAACTGCATTTCAGCCATTATAGTATAGTATTGTGTATCTTATGTGTATTATTTATGAACGTACTATGAATTTTAATGAAAAATTGTAATGTTAGTTTTTAATTGTAGTAAATGAATGAGTGTCCGTAGTTCATGCTCATGTACGATGATTAAAGGAAAAAGCTGTATAGTTTTCTTTCGGACATGTTTTCATCTTCTGCTGCTGCTGTTTTTTGTTTCTGAAACAGCTGACTCAGCGTATTGTTATGACATAAGCTGCCTTCAGTGTGAAGCTTCTGTAAAAGATGCCACAATGTGCAAAAGTCATCAAAGTGTGAACTTGTGCTGCCGATCAGGAGTAAACAGAGCATGTTGGATTGTGGCAACACCTGAAGCCTGTCTGTGTGGAGTCTACGTGTCCTCCCTCTGTTCATGCGTGGCCCGTTTGTCTCCGCGTGTCCCTGTGATGGACTGGGGCCATGTCCAGGCGTCCCCTGTCTCTCACACAGAGACTACTGGAGACACCAGCTCCCGGTGACCCTGCATGGATGGAATACGTGTAAAACACCTGGATGAGTTTTACTCACCTTTAAACAGCCTGAGCTGACATGGACCAGATCCTTATTTTACTGTAAATTGAATGAATAAAACGTAAAGCAGCAGAAACACAGCTGGACACCAGCATGAAGGCTGATGGCTGATTTTATGATGTTTGCACACAAAGAAATGTACAAATGTATAGAATTTTTTACCAATAAATGCWATTTTGCTAGTAATACTGTTTGTTTGTTTGTTATGGGATAAGATAGCTGTCAGAATTAATTGTACGTGTAGAGTCTAAATTTGTACATGTAAGTCAATAAACGTACATAAATTTTAGATTTGTATTTGTATTCATGTCAAATCACATTTGTTTTATGTGAGAATACAAGTTTTTAAGTTACAAACACAAGTTAAAAAGTTACAACTTTGCCACATTACAAGTACGAATCAAATTTACAAGTCCAATTCTTTTACCAGTCAAAATAACAGACATTATGCATGGAACACCGAAAAGATCGATTGCAAACAGTAACTAAGCCAGACCACTAGGGGGACGTGACCACTGCCTCATTTGGGACCAGATGAACTCTTTATAAATGCAACAATGCTGGAGCTTTGTGACGCATAAGGTGTCAGAAATACTCAGAAACACCACGACAGGCCAGAGCAGCGAGATGAGAATGAATCAATGAAAATATTAATTTCATTTTAGTGACCGTTGAAAGAAATATCAGCAAAAAATTTGACTTTAACAAAAATCAAGTATTATGCCACAATGTAGTGGTAATAGTAGTAGTATACTATATTATGTGTGTCTATATTATGTGACATCTGTTTCTATTGTACAATTCTAAAATTTATGTACGTTTCTTGACTTACGRGTACAAATTTAGACTCTACACGTACAATTAATTCTGACAGCTATCTTATCTCATAGTTTGTTTGAACAGTGTAAAGAAAAGGTTATTTTATATTACCTTTTAAACCAGGGCTGTTCAACTGGCAGCCCTCAGGTCACATCTGACCTGCGAGTGACCAAAGTTCAGCCTGCCCATTAGTTCACTCATCTCCCAGTTTTCTACTTTAATTACTCTAAGTTCTTCTAGTTAAACATGTTTGGTGTCTACAGAAACGTATGAATCTTGGCTAAAAGCTGGTAAAAGCTTTTCTCTGGTAAAAAAAAAAAATTCTATGAACATCCAAGACAGTTAAAATTACAAGCAGTTGAAGATGAAACTGTAAAAGTGAAAATAAGGTAAGTTTATTTATGTAGCACATTTCATGTACAAGACAACTCAAAGTGCTTTACATAAAACATTAAAAGCAAGCTATAAGCATAGTGAATAAAACATCTAAAAATAAAACACAATAATATAAAACAAATAAAATACATTTTAAAAATAACAGATAAAAGCAGCAGTGCACAAAATCTGCAGTTTCCTGGTCTGAGGAAAGGCAGCGGCAAGCAGAACTGTTTTCAACTTTGATTTAAAAGTGCTTCGATTTTCAGCCGACCTGCAGTCTTCAGGAAGTTTATTCCAAATGTGAGGAGCAAAAAATAAATAAAACTGAAGCCTGCCTCTCCGTGTTTGGTTCTGACCCTGGGAACAGAGAGCAGGCCTGTCCCTGACCACCTGAGGGCTCTGGGTGGTTTACAGCAGACCACAASATCAGCCATATATTTTGACCCTAGACCATTCAGTGCTTTATAAACCAACAGCAGTATTTTGAAATCAATTCTTTGACAGATGGGGAGCCAGTGTAAAGGTTTAACAACTGGAGTTATATGGTCCCTTTTCTTGGTCTTTGTGAGGACTCGAGCAGCAGCTCTGAACTAACTGCAGCTGCCTGATTGAATTTTTAGAGAGACCTGTGAACACAGCATTACAGTGGTCCAGTCTACTAAAAATAAATGCATGGACAAGTTTTTCTAAGTCCTGTTGAGGCATCAATCCTCTGATCCTTGATATATTATTTAWATGATAATAGGCTGACTTCAGGACTATCTTTATAGTGAAGCTGAGTACTAACTTTTAATCGTTCCTCCTCGGCACCAAAAACAATTCTAAATAAATTTAAATAAAAAAAACGAAAAATAAAACTGGTTTAAAAATTTGGCAAGTCAGAGATGTCAAAATAATTTGTGTCAAATAGGAGGCATAATGTGTTGTTTTTGATAATGTTTAATTATCACTACTTTTATTACATAGGTTTCTCTGTGTGTTGTATTCATGAGAAAATGCAGCAAAATAAACTATTTCAAAGGTAACAGATCTTTGTAACACTTGGTTTATTTACATAATAACTAACTGCTGGACATTCGGCCCKTGAGCTGTTGGCCTGCAGTAACTGTGGCCCCCGGAGCAGTTTAGCTGAATAGCCCTGTTTTAAACATAGTACAGTTTTTTTGGCCATTTATTTAGCAAAATATCTCAAAATATCAGGGAGAGATTTTAATTAAGCTTTAATAAATTATTCATTGGATGTTTATATTATGTGGAAGATGTTTGCCACAGTTAATCCCTATTAGCCAATAAAATCATTAAAGCTCAACTTCAGTGCATTCTACAGATACTGTAGTAGCTGAGAGTCATCCCAAACAAAACCATCATGAAAGACATGACAGTTACATTCCTACATAATATTATTTTCAAGTTTTGACCAAAAATTTTATAATCAAAAATCAGTCAGTAATGTTTTATTACACGAGGCCTCAACACAATGTTGTGTTTCAGCAGGACATCTAGTGGTCGATGCAATGAAGTGCAGTTAATATGTGTTCATTCATTTCAAGTTCCCACTCCTTTGAATGTTGCATCATCTGATTGTACTTCTCTTGTTATAAAACATTTAAATGGTGACGACACGGTCATGAAATATGCAGATCATATTTAGTGAAAGGAAAGGTGGGCATGATCTAGAAGGAACACTGAATTTTAAAACCCATGACAACACAGAAGAGATTCTGCATCACAACGACAGGAGGAAAAGACTAAAGAAACTATTATATAACTATCATTTTTACAAGGTAGAGG